CATGAAATAGCCTCACACCCTCAAAACATACAATGCTAGGAAGGAAGGGTGTAGATTTGAACTGGTGGAGGAACTGTTTTCTTCACACTGCACAAATATTTCTTATGATAAAGACATGCTATAGAACAGGCAATTTAGCACTTGGTCTATCCTGTCTAACTGATTAAGACTGAGTTATAGGCCTCAGAAAATAAAGCAAGAGGCTGTGGGTCTCTGTTAGGCATACAGGCATTGTCTGTGTTTTTCCCCCAGTGGTTGCCTCTTGAGAGGCTAACAATACCAAACAAGTGGCTCTACTCTGCCTATTCATTGAATTTGCAGTGTTTAGAGGCACAGATGACTCTGGAAATACAGGCCCCGCTGGAAGATTTATTGATAAAATTCTGAAGTAGTTTATCAAATTCCAAACTTTCTTCCATTTTGTTCCCCTTTGAGTTACGTTTTTCGTAGACAGTCTTCATTTGGTGCTGTTTTACGTGAGGTTAGCAGAGTTTGCCGATGTAATTTTCAAATGCATGTTAATGAACAGTTTTGAAATGTGACCTTGATAATTAGATGGAAGTGTAATAGCTACAGTGTAACAGCTAATGTTGCCTTTGGTCTGTTAAAGACTGAGGGACTTCAATGCCTAGAAGGTGTATGAATTACTGTTCTCGTTAAACAGTAGTGAAACACTGCCCTTCAGCCTGTGTCCACTTCCTACACACACATTTGAAAATTAGAGAAGCAGGGAGGTGGGCAAGGACGACACCCTGGGTTGCACCTTCAACCTGTGTGAGTTATGAAAAAGTATGGGGCATTTAAACAAACCACCATTTGATCAGACCACCTTAAAGTCCCCATGGCATGCTTTTCTGTGTTTTCTGACGTATCTAAAATGTTACAATTATCATCTTAAACGTCACTGAAAGCGCAAAAAAACAAGGTCCAGCAAGTGTTGAGCAACTTTAATAGGAAGACCAACACGTTTCGACATGAAGCCTTCATCAGGATCCTTTCACCTTTTGTTTTATCTTCGTCAGGGTCTTCTTAATTAAAACACTGCAAGTGTTGCAGGACTTTTTATTTTCCAGATAAAATGAAGGCGAAAAGTGAAACAGGCCTAGTGACCCAAAGTGTCTTTGTATACATTTATCACAGTTTACAAATCATCTTCTTTTGCTGTGAGGGATTATTACTGACATTACAGGTATGATAAACTCCAAATGAAATGGTAGGTAATGTCACCTGTTTTTTTTTTTTTTGCCCCATTGGACTTTGTTGTAGCGATGTTTCCACATTTCCAATCTCTGGAGTTACTTACTTTGGTGAGAATCCAAACAATGTTTGTTATAAATGATTCATGTAATGATCAGAAGTATGAAAAAAGGTTTTAGAAATATTTAATTATGAATGAATTGTCCTTTAATTTAATGTCAAATCATCTTTACCCCCATGACCTAAATACCGATGCTGAA